AACCGACATTTTTTGCCAAAAATTGGATTTGCTCACACAAGCTCTGGGCTCAAGCCTTATTTCGTCCTGAAATATACTAAACAGAAATGCGATTGCTTTGTAAAAAAGAGTATGATTTTGAAATATGAGATTGTTTACTCTCTAGAAAATGATTTATTTTGCATTTTGTTGATACGCTGCTTTGTACTTCATATGAAAATATGTTAATTGTTTATCGGAGGGCGGTGTGTTCAAGCCGACTTCAGGTTTTTTGCATACATTAGAAACTTCAAATTCAAAATTTGTGAAAGCTAATGGCGATACGCTAATCACAAAGCCAAATTTTTAGTAAAATCTGATGAGAAATTTAAAAGTAAATTTGAACCAAAATATAAAAAGGTTTTATGTGGGAAGAACATTCTTTACAACTACATTTTTAGATCGCAAAATTGCATTCAAAATAAGAAAACGAAAAAATAACAGCATAATGCGCGCGTGGTTTTTATGATAAAATAAAAAGGACAATTACACTGAAGTCTTTTTAATACCCTATATTTTATACATTTTAAATAAAAATAGTGCGAGCTATGTAAGTAAAGAAATACCGAGCACTGACAATGGTTTTTGATTTGAAATATTATTACATTGGTATAAATATGGGAAAGAAAGTACTCCGATCTATTGTTGTAATATTATCAAAGTGGTAAGGCCGTGATAGTACTCACAATTTATGAAACTTCAAAAAATTGTATTATTGTATTCTTTTTTGCATCATGATATTGTCGAAATATACTAGAATTAGATAATACTCACTTCTCTGAAAGCCATGAGTCCCATTGGTCCCAAAGAAAATTCCGTTTTCAAGTTACGTGAAAGAAATGGACAAATAAAATATCGAAATTGTAATTTCAGTGTCTGAAATATATCAGAAATAAACGTATCCGATATAGAAAACTGTAATAGTACTGGCTAGCTACATAGTGAAATAATCAGATGACATAATGACACTAAAAAAATTTTAAATATGTTCACTAAAATTTTATTAATTTAAAAATAAAGATTTTGGCAAGTAGTTATCGAGTTTAGTGTAAAATTTAAACGTTTTTAAGGAGAGAAAGCATAAGTAATTCTCATTTCATTTCTCATGTCGATATAGCTCTCTAAAAAACGCATCAACAACAATGCATTAATAGCCTTTGTAGAGATAGTCTAAACATTCTCAATTTGAAATAATCACTTATGTTCACTTTTTTTCTTACACCAACTCTCTTGTTTATGCCAAACAATTAAAAAAATTAATGTGCAAAAACAACGTAATTCGTTATGTTAACGCTTAATAGCGTTCGCGAGTTTTAATAAACGTTTAAAAGCGGATTCCTTTCGATAAGAAAAAAACCAAACACGTTCGATTATGAGAGAGCGAAAAAAAGGAAGTTGGCTTTGACAGCGAGGATGTCAGAGTTGCCAGGAGTAGTTTATACTAAACAAGTACAAGAGATGCCAGATAGGCGCGAACATGCCGGCCGCCTTGAACGACTGTTCAAATTATTACAATTTCAATTCAAGTGGTTTCAATACATAAAATTATATGGAAAAAATGTCGGTCTTTGTTGGTAGCAACGATAGCTTAGCGACAGGTCTCAATAGTTCCCCTTCGGATGTTTTTAAATTTACGACTCGAACTCGATCATCTGAGCCCGGATGGATGCCAAGTACGCGGCCAAGTTTCCATTTAGTGGGAGGCGCGTTACCGTCACGTATAACTACTACGTCGTCTTTCTGCAAATTCGCTGTTAGCGTAACCACTTTGAGCGTTGTTGAAGTCTGACAAGGTATTCGTCCCGCCATCGTTTCCAGAAATGCTGCCGGATTGATGCGATTAATTGCCAACGTTGAAAAATAGTTCCTTTAAAGACTTCAACGTCAGGGTCGGGAAGCGCCTTTAGTGGTTCGCCGACTATGAAGTGCCCTGGTGTGAGGACCTCCAAGTCGTTTACTTCGGTAGGGATGCAGCAGATAGGACGCGAATTTACGCAGGCTTCGACCTCAGTTAATACTGTTGCAAACTCTTCGTAAGTTAAATGCGAAGGGCCCAGTGCTCGTTTGAGATGGTACTTAACGCGTTTTATACCAGCCTCCCAAAAGCCACCCATGTGTGGGGCGCTCGGGGGGTTGAAATGCCAGGTAGTTTGAGCGTCGGCAAAATATGTTGACACCTTGTCGTCATTGATGCAGCGTTCGTATGCGATCCGCAGCTCCTTCTCTGCACCCACGAAGTTAGTGCCGTTGTCGGAGTAAATGTGCTGACAGTAGCCTCTTCTGTTGGTAAAACGTTTAAAGGCGGCAATAAAGGTGATTGAAGAGAGGTCCCCAGCCAGCTCGAGATGCATTGCGCCAGTACTCATACATATAAATGAGCAGATGTACGCCTTCGTGGATTTAGCACCTCTTCCATGCGTGAATTTCAAGGCATAAGGACCAGCAAAATCGACCGCACTATGTAGGAAGCAACGCGTAGCGGTGACGCGGCTTGCGGGTAAGTCAGCCATGAGTTGCTGTATTGGCTTGCAGCTCAGTCGTCTGCAACGCGTGCAATGGCGATATACTCCACGAACAAGGTTTCGAATACCGGGTACCCAAAACCGCCGTTGAAGTACGGCCTGCATTATCTGCGGTCCACCGTGCAATGTTGTGATGTGTATCTCAGCAGCGATTACCTTAGCAAGCGGCGATTTCTTCGGCAATATTATAGGATGCTTGACATCGTCTGAAATCACGGCGTTTTTGATGCGGCCTCCTACACGTAGAATACCCTTTGAGTCTAGAAACGGTTGCAATCGTGCTAGGCTGCTTCGCATCGGTACAGGTTTGTTAAACCTGCAATTATAGATTTCTTGTTCGAAACAATTAAACTGGGTATACTTTACCAATGCTACTTCGGCACTTCGTATCTCGGCACAAGTTAAACAGCCCGTGTTTAGTGCCCCTGCACCAGACTGTGAAGCGGTGATGCGTGCGTTGTTGGCGAAGCGCAATAGATAAGCGGTTATGCGTTTAAGTTTGTCAAATGAATGATATTTGGTCAACAGGTCCCATTCGTCAGCGGTTTGTGTTAGATTCGCAACGGTCTTCTTTGATTTTAACTCGAGCTCTGTGGTATGCTTTTGTGCGGATATCAGCCAATGACTATTGCCCTCCCGTAGCCAAGGTGGCCCATGCCACCACAAGGGATGCGCAAGAAGCTGTGATGGTGTAATACCTCTCGATGCGCAATCAGCAGGATTGTGCTCTGAGGCTACATGTCTCCAATGTGAGGCCGGTAAAACTTCCTGTACATCGGCGACGCGATTGGCAACAAACACAGCCCAGCGACTTGGATTGCTTTGTAGCCACGCCAACGCAACCATGGAGTCCGTCCATGCGTACAACTTGCCGATTGAGTGGTTCAAACTTGACTGGACTTGCCGCACCAGCTTTGCACCTAGATGTGCTGCACAAAGCTCCAAACGCGGCAGCGATGTGGTTTTTAGAGGCGCTACCTTCGTTTTTGCTGCAACTAGTATGACTTTAACCTTACCATCTGGGACTTGAGTGCGACAGTATAGAGCGGCTGCATAAGCGACTTCCGAAGCATCGGTGAAAACGTGGAATTCGGAATCTGAAACTGTGCTAGTTCCCAACCAGCGATTTAGTTTCAACGATGAGAGTTTCGACAACTCACTGCGATGAGTCAACCAGTCCTTGGCAACGTCTGATGGTACCGGCTCGTCCCAGTCCACGTTTAAGCGCCAAACCCTTTGCAACCAAATTTTTGAACGAATGGTACATGGCGCGATTAAACCCAGAGGATCGAAGATTTTGCTCGAGTCAGAAAGAAAGGTACGTTTCGTAAGTTTGCTTGGAAGAGCTTCTTGATTAACTGCTATAGAAAGCCAATCGTTGTTTGTGTGCCATGTAGTACCTAGAGTGCGAATTTCATCTCCATCGGCTAAAAGGTGTGAAATTTGTTTGGATGCATGTGGTATCAGCTCCCTCAGCGTCTGACAATTTGTTGCCCACTTTCGTAGCTCGAAACCGCTTTGAGAAAGCGCGCTGGATACGTCTTTTTGAAGTACAGTAAGTTCACGAATCGTATCTGCGCCGGTTAATAAGTCGTCCATGTAAAAGTCTGACTTTACAACCTCGACAACTCTTTTACTTGTGTTGGTCGCGTTGAGCGCGGCTTGTTGTAGTGACTTCACTGCCAGGTGCGAAGCTGAGGCGACTCCATAAGTGACTCTTAAGAGACGATAGTCAGACATTGGCTGTGAAGGGTTCTCTCGCCACACTATGCGCTGATAATCGGTGTCTTGCTTAGCCACGTAAACCTGCCGGTACATTTTTTCGACGTCAGCAATGATACCAAAGCGGTGAGTACGAAAGCGAGTCAGAACAGAGAAGAGGTCTTGCTGCAACTGCGGGCCTACCATGAGAGCGTCGTTTAAGGAGTTACCTGATGATGTCCTCATAGATGCGTTGAACACGACTCTGAGTTTAGTCGTTTCGCTTGTGTTCTTTAATACCGCATGGTGTGGCATGTAATATACGTTGGTTGTTGCTGGCTCGGCTAACTCCATGTGCCCCATGTCAATAAGTTCTTGCATAAACTTACTGTACTCCTGGCGAAGGTGTTTGTTAGTGGAAAACCTTTTTTCCATGCGGAGTAAGGCTCGAACTGCTGCGGCTCTCGACTCACCGATCACGACGTCTGTCTTTAATGGTAAACGCACAATATAACGCCCGTCTTCTGCCCGCTCGGTTGTTTCGTCGAAGAGCTTTTCGCAAAACGATTCTTCTGGTGTATAAAACCTTCGAGGGGGCAACTCTTCGAGTTCCCAAAATTTGTTTATAAGTTGGGTTAGCTGCGTATCGCAATGTAAAGTCGATACTGTCAAAGGTGGCCGTTGCAAATTAGTCGCGTTCCCAAACAGTACCCAACCGAACGCGGTATTTTGTGCCATTGGGGTACCCTGTTCACCTTTACGCAGACCACTGAGTAGAATTTTTTCCATTTCGTCCATGCCGATTAAAATGTCTACTGGACCAGGCTTTGAGAAATGTAAGTCAGCTAGTGGTAAGCCGGTGAGATGCGGCCATGAGGACGTCGGTACAGGAGTTGTGGGGAGATCGTTAGTTATTGTTGGTAAGATAAGTGTACTCACTTGAAATTTGGTATCCAGGGTTCGCGGCGATACGCATAGTGTAACCTCACCCTTTGTACGACCTCCTTGTAGTGATCCAATCCCCGTAACGAAAGCGGATGATGGTGTTCTGGGGATGCGTAGGCGTTGGACGCACGCCTCGGTGACGAATGAAGCATGCGATCCGTTGTCAAGCAGAGCTCGGGCGGGTTGCCAACGACCAGCGTAGTCTTGTACCACAATCTCGGCGGTTGCCAGCAAAATGACACGATCAGCGTCAGCGTGGTGTGAGGTGACGTTGACGGGCTGGCCGGTTGAACTGCTAGCAGGTGTTGCGGTTTGGTTGGGGAAGTTTGCATGAAGTAAGGTGTGGTGGCGGTGTTGACATATACGACACGAAGATGCGCTGCGGCATTTAGAGAGAACGTGCCCTTTGCTGAGACAATTTACACATGCGCCTAGCCCGTTGACAGCGGATAATCTACCCTTTGAGTCGAGTTGGCTGAACTGCGGACAAGTGTAGATTTTATGATCACCGTTGCAATGAGCACAATGCAACACTTTTGTAGCGGCCGATGTATGGTCGCGTGTTTCCGACTGACTGCATGCCGTGTGAAGAACGTTCTTTGTTGTTTTTGTGCTAGCGCTTACTTGTGGCACCATCTCTAATGAACGTGCACGAGTTTCGAGAAACTCTCGAAGAGCGGTGAAGGATGGTAGATCATCTATCACAAGCGATAGCTCCCATTGCTTGCGGGTTTCGTATGCTAACTTGGATACGGTTAAATGAATGAGCCAATCGTCCCAAAATTCAACTGGACGCCCGAGTGCGCGCAGTGCACCAACGTGCTGAAGGATAGCATTTAATACGTGTTTGATTGCTTTAGCTGTATCTTTGGTTGCCTTCTCAATTGATGATAGCGCTTTGATGTGGCTGTCCACCATGACTCGCATGACTTTGTACCTCGCGGTCAATAAGTCCCAAGCCTCATTATAATTGCTGTCACACACCGCTAAGCTGCTCACCAAATCTAATGCTTCTCCTTTCAAACAATTCCGAAGATAATGCAATTTTTGTCCGTTCGACAAATTCGCATTCGCATTAACGAGTGAGCAAAAAGCATCGTGAAAAGACAACCATTGAGTGGGGTCGCCATTAAACGACGGCAACTGCAGTTTAGGAAGTGGCGTGGGCGTAGGCGCTACCTTTACGGAAGTTTGATGCGATGGCTGCTTTTGAGCTGATAACAGGCGTTTTAAATTAGCCTTGGCGGTGCTATACCACTCCTCTCCTTGTATGCGTGACTGCTCCTCCATGGAAGCGTTCTCATCCCCACACGACAGCTCCACTTCCTGCTGTGCTTCGCAAAAGCGAGTCCACTGCTCTTCAAGCAATTGAAGATAAGTAGATATTACCTCGGTGTCCACCGATAGAGCATCCACTTTGCTAGATTGTAAGTAGCGTTTGATTGCATTTAACGCGGAGTCACGAATTTTAAGAGATGACATATTGCAAATGTCAGCGCGGAATAAATTTATTAAATATAGGCGGCTTTGCGAATTTTAATGAAAATATAATGCGATCCGGGTTGAAGGACCAGTTTATGTTAACGCTTAATAGCGTTCGCGAGTTTTAATAAACGTTTAAAAGCGGATTCCTTTCGATAAGAAAAAAACCAAACACGTTCGATTATGTCAAATCCATTTATTTGAGAGAGCGAAAAAAAGGAAGTTGGCTTTGACAGCGAGGATGTCAGAGTTGCCAGGAGTAATTTATACTAAACAAGTACAAGAGATGCCAGATAGGCGCGAACACGTTATAAGCCATTTAATAAAACAATATTCTATGGGAACATTTTCTTATGTATATTTTGGCTGCTATAGTAAATGTAATAGGGCCTCATTGCGAGTTAAGATAAAATGATTTTATTAATATTAAAAAACAAAAACAAGTTAAAGGGATAGGGATTTTACGAAATTATAAATTTTTATTAGTGGAATATCGTAGCATATATAACTAAATTGGTTCCTAAGTCGACTTAGGCGGTTATCGCTTGTGACCACAGAATTATCGACGAAGAGTTCCAAGTATGTTATACGGACGGATCGAAGATGGACGACGGGAGTACTGGGGTAGGCGTACTTGGACCAATATTCAAGAAAAGTCAATGGGCACAGGCCAACCCTGTTCCAGGCGGAAGTCTTCGAAATCGAAGTCTAATAATAATTAATTAAATAATAATAATAACAATAATAATAATAATAATAATAATAANCATCACCTTCCAAGTCACTGACATCACGCGAGGGCAAACACGTAGTATCCCTCGCAGGAAACCAGGATGGAACCCGTCTAGGGTCGATGTTCGCAAGTTCGATACGTCACTCCTAGCAGATTCCCAAGGCATTTCACCCACAACGGGAGAGATCCACAACAGGGAGTCTTGTACTAAGCTGGTCGAAGAAACTATGCGCTGCATTCACCGGGCATGCAAAGCCTCAATGCCACAGAGGAGAGCATGGTCAGGTAAAAAGCAGGTATACTGGTGGAATGACCGAATTGCTGAGCTGCGAAGGGAATGCCATAGAAAGCGGAGACTCGCAACGCGCGCTCGTGGTAGACCTGAGGCGCTGACCAGAGCAGCAGCCTACAAAAGCGCTAAGAAAGCACTCGGGGCCGAGATACAGAAGAGTAACCGGAACTGCTGGAAAGCGCTATGTGACGAAGTGGATCGCGATCCCTGGGGCCAGGGATACAAAATAGTGATGAAAAAGTTCCATACATCATCGCAAGCGATGGATGAGGCCCGAGTTAAGAATATAGTGGATGCGCTATTTCCCACACACCCACTAAGAGC